ACTCTTCCTCTTTCGACTTATATGAAGGATTAGTTTTATATAAATGTATGTATGTATGTTAATCTATCTCATTCGTCTAGAAAAGTTGTCTAGTTTCATAAAAAATAATTATTACCCTGCTTAGATATTGTACAATAACGCAATCTTTACATTATTACCTATAAATGTTTAATTTCAAGTAAATATTTTTCTATTTTATTATTATCAAGTAACTGTTTTGTAGGTGCGAAATCCATTAATACTCATGACTTACAAAAAAACCCTTGGAAATTTTCACTTTATAAGGAATTTATTGGGCAAAAGTCTTCGAAAGCGGAATTAAAATCATAACCCAAATTCTTCACTACAAGCACAATTGACAACTAATATAATAATAACGGCAAAACAATGAAAACATCTACAATATAAAACTAAAATAATCAGAATAGTTTCTAACAGTCGTGATTATTTATTATAAACTTTTTGTACGTAGAAATCCATATCAATTCGTAAAGAAACATTTTCATCGACAAAGCTACTCGTAATAAGTTTTCTTACATACGAGTTGCGCGGATTCCTTTGTTGAGGAATGTCTCAATAACGTCCATTCGATACGATACAAACGAAACTTAACGTGATGTTGTTACACTCGAGATATTTTATAAAAGTATCAATCATAATATTCATTATGGTAATATTGAATCTGTCTATGGTTGGCTATTATTTGTATTTAAAAAAAAAAAGGGGAATTTTGTATGTTTTTCTCTGACTTTATAGCTTCCCATAATTTTTTTTATACTACGTAGGTGGCGAAATGATAGTAATAACACCTTTAAGAGAACCATATGCTTGCCCATCTGAAAGTATCATATTTACATTTCCAACATGTTGTTTTCTAGATTACTAAGTCACAATATCCAATTATACTCAGCTAATTATGATGCAAAATAATAACTACTCATCATCATTATTATATTAGTTTGTGGGGTAGTTGTCACACTTGGTGGGCAGGTTGGCATCCGCAGTAATATTTTGGTGATGTTTTTTTTTATGGGTGATAATGGAATGGTAACTCCACCCGTGCTATCGGTATACACCGGCGGGGCACCAGTGAAGAATGGTAGATGAGGATGAAGCAGTTCAGTTAGCCCATCGTGACGAATTCAACAAGAATTGTTCACGATGGTTTCCAGGGGGAACCACGTGGAGGTCGACTTAATGAGGCATATTGCTAGCAATGAGGCTGGCAAACTCAATTGCTAACAATCCCTTTCCCGCCGCTTTGGTGATGTTGTAAACGGGACGCTGCTGCCCATTTCTCAACCATTTTTTATATGTTATACAAAAATACAAATCCAGTAATAAAATGTTTTATTACCAATCATTTCTTGATCATATATGAATCAAAATAGATATCATAATTTCAAGTTATTAAGCTCAAACTATAAATGACTAGGAATACGATCTTAGTAGTTAATAGCTTGAGATAGGCGAACGTCTGCTAATGATACCACAGAACATGAACATCTGCCGTCTTCATGACTCGTGCATAATAATTATACCAAGAAATTGAATACGTACATTATACAATAACTATAAAAGTTGAGATGGTTAAAACCCCTATACATTTTTTCATTTAAACAAGATTAGCATCAATATTGAATGAATTGAATAAATTTTTACAACATTATGTAAAAATTTATTTATTAATTTAAATTATCAGGTCCTTGGCGTGTGTCGCAAGATATTTACAATTTTAAAATTAATGCAAATTCTGTGCTGCAATGTACGATTTTTTTTTAAATCTAAATATATTCTTTGACTTTTGCTAACTGTACCATAGATTCTAAGAATTGTGTCAACATTCGATAACGGTCATTGTATGCAAAATTTAATTATTGTTTCGACTTTGCGGAAACAGCCTTCGATCACAAGTATGGCAAATTGTCAAGGGAAATGATTGAATTCCATATATTGTCACGTTTCAGTTGAATCGGCACTACAATCCAAAACTATCACCTGTTATATACGACGATTTGTTTACACGAAACATACGACTAGATACTATAAATATTTTACATCAACCAAATGTCAAACATCAATCAATAACGCCGCCTTTATCAGAAATCGTGACCTTGTATTGTGGCTTTTAAATATATTCAAGAATTAAACTATAAAAAATATAATGCACAGATATATGTCTTTATTGCAGTTGATAAAGGTATAAAACGCTGATACATACCAACTCTTGGTCCGCGTCATATACATGAGTGTATCAGTATTTGGGTATAAAAAGATCTTTATCAAATTTCTAAGTATGCTGTACTCAGTAAATAAAGTAAATAAATGTGCTCACAAATAACCATTATAGAATCTTTTTGTGGGATAGTCGGAAACCTTTTATCGACTGTTGCCTTTGTGGTAAACGTAACTCGCGACTTGTTCACATTTCAGCAAACATATTGGAATACAAAATGGCAGTAAACCTTCTGTAATTTCTCAGTTTAATTTTATTATAATTAGTTACTGTATTTCATGTATTCAATTCAAGATACTGAAATTGCAATACACAGGGCATTAATGTCAGTGACGAGTACATATCCCATCTCCAGGTTGTCGATGATATAGTTATATGGGTTAAATAACTAAAAGATCTCAGGTATTATTGTATATCAGTATAAAGATAAGGAGTAAAGCCTTGTTTAAATTTTAGTTGACACTATTATTATCATGCATACAAGAATAATTTGTATATTAGAAGTTATATATGCGTCACGTTATAATATTTAAAAGATTCGTGTGCGTAGGTTATAATTTCACTTACCGTTAGGGGAGACGTAAGCTTGTTTTCAGTGTCACTATAAATAATCTAGTAATCATTATTATATTTCAGGTAGGATTATCTATATTTCTTTTCCGATCTAATAATTTGAAACGTAATAGAAGTTACTAGGCTGGAAAAGATAGTCGACTATTGCTTGTTATTACTCAATCGACGTTTACCCGCTGATTCATATTGATGATTTATGTAGTGATAAATAAATTATGAACTATGACTTCACCAACTGATATATTTTATCGTGTCCACGTGAAAATAAATGTTTATTTCTTACACGTATGATATACCAGTGATTAAACAACATGGCTTTATGGTGATTAAACCTCGATATATTTTAACAAAACAGTCTTAAAAATTCCTTATTACTCATCTATCTCATTTTTATATCTATGAGAAAAAAAAATTACATCAATATTTAAAAAAATAATAAATATTAAACGAATTTCTGGCATTAAAATGTTAAGCTAATTAGAATAAAAAGTATTTTATTACGGACTAACACGCACTAAAATTGAAATAGTTCCGATTCAAACCCAATTTAATTAACTCCCATATATATCTAACAGTAAGACTAACTGACAGACAAAGCCCAGTTGCTCACAACGAAAACAAGAAATTTATCATTATAAATTCTCTATCATATATAGAATCCGTTGTTAGTGTTTATTTATATTACATACAGTCTATATAACCCAGGTAAACATTAAGAACTTTTAAAAATTCATCCGCCTACAAGGGGTAATCAGGGCATAAAAGTTTGCAGGAAAGTTACTAATGAGACAGCTCGTAATAATATAAATGTACAAAATTGTGTGTTTAAATGAAGGTAAATAAATACATACATACGGTATAAATATGGTCTATGTGACCCTAATAACGTCTTGATTAATATGTAGGACAGTTTTATCCTAAATCACACAATCAACATTGCGAGATAAGAATAATCTTAATATCCTACTAATATTATAAAGGTTTGTAAAGATGCTTGGATCTTTTTATGTTTGGATGTTTATATATTTGTCACTCAATCATACTTAAACGGCTGACTGAATTTTAATGAAATTTGATTCACAGTTAGGTTGTATCATAAATTAACACATGAAAATATTTTATAATTACTGGTGCACGCGGGCAAAGCTACAGGGGACAGTTAGTTATAAATATAAAAGTGTGTTTGTTACCTCTTAGTGGTTTGGCGGCTTAATCGTTTGTGATGAAATTTGGTATAGATGTACTATATAAGATGGAGAAGGATATAGGCTACTTTTTATCCCAGTCAGTGAACTTATCCCGGTCTCAAAGACGAAGTCGCGGGTAAAAGATAGTAAGTAATAAATTCCAAACAATGAAACCGCCTAGTCGTTAAATTAAGATAGTTTGTATTATGAGAAACCAGAGAGCGGATATCTGAAGGCGTAAATGTGCAACCAGAATACTCAGACCACAGCCGCAGATTACTACATGGATCGCAGTCACTACGTAACAGCCAATCTAGAAAAGATCATTTTCTATATTGGGCGAACATAAATCGAACTTGGGAGAGGGGCCTCTTTTTAAGTAACTTACTTGTCACTGCAGCTACTTTTTAATAAGTGTTTTTTACTCGCTATTTCGTGTGCGTGGATTTTTAAAGTAGGACAATAAAAAAAAAATCCGTATGCGTATCAACATAAAATATACGAAATACGATTTAAAACCAGACCCAATTTCGTCAAGTAGTTTTTGCATGATGCTGAAATAAACATACAGACAAAATATGTAAAAAAATTTGTATTTGTCTTCTATTGTTTAATAACTAATACTGCTATAATTTTTCTTAAAAACTTCCATGTATAAACATGGTCTAATTACAATTTTATTATAATCAGTAAGATGCAAAATGAAATCTATGCAACCAGTTCATTGCATTTTACCTGTAAAAAAGCTGGGTCTTTTATGATGCATAACGAAAGTCGATATTTTGAACAGATGCATATTATAAATACAAGTATACAACACTACAAGTATTTCATTTTTTTAGTGGTTTTTGTCAATACAGGGTCAGTGCCAACTCTTAAATAACATTGTGATTACTTTGTAATGAAGCAAAATTTGTAAAATTCGACTTCACTTTGTTGTGATGTTTTTTTTTCTTTTTATATTTTTAAAATATTTAATCATTGTGTTTTTTTTTTTCTAACAGACGAACCTCACTCGACCGTGTTCGGTTCGGTGACGGAGGGTGTGTTCGAGGGGAAGATCATGTCGAAAGACGGCGCCTTCTACGTGGAGCACGCGCGCCGCTACTTCCCACCGAATGGGACGCGTACGCGCGTCCACTCGGTGATCTACAAGGAGAGTGACGTCAGCGACCCCTACGCGCACCGTAGACACGGTACATGAATAATTTCGTAATTTTTTATTACTTGTATATTTATTCATTTCAACATTGCTACCTCACATTAGAACTATTTTTCTCAAATTATAATTTTTATAATTTGCCGTGTGGTCCCGGCGTAGAATAGGCCACCCCTTCCTTTCCCGTGGGTGTCGTAAAAGGCAAGTGAGGGAGGGCGAGAGATGGGTAGCAGCATCCCTCTTAAAACATCTCCAAAGCCTAACTGCGGTTACCAATCCACCTACCAAGTGTGGTAACTACTGGCAAAACCCCCAAGATTTATGTTCAGCAGTGGACAATTAAAGGCTGATATGATGATGATTATTATTATTTACAAGAAACAAACAACATTTACAAATTTAAACTTTTAGTTCTTTTAGTATTGAAATCTTGTACATAACTAAATACTATTGTTTTATATATCTTGGTGCCAATCAATCAATAGAGCTAAGTGTGATGTTTAATTTTCCATCGAGGATAACGTCATGCCAGTATAGTGGACGTGCACGGAAATTTAAAAGCATTTAATTATAAGCTAATTCAATTAAAGAACTAACTCACAGAAGTACAAACTTCATATAATATTATAAGCCGACGTTCATTACTATGGTAATCATTTAATCTCTTTAAACTAATAAGCAGCATAATAATACCCTTGCAAAATTTATAACAAGAAATTACTCGTATGAAGTAAGCTTACGGTTAATAAGCTTACTTAAACATTATAGAGGTGGAGTATTTAATTGGTGTTAGTGCGTAAGCGTTACGTTGTTTTTATTACTCGCATCCATCGAATCATGGGATTAAATTACATATTTCAATGTGCGTAAGCCTTAAAGTTAATAGTGCCATAACGAAATTGTATGGCAACGTGTAACTGCGAGCAATTTGTAGACAGAGCCGCAGTATTGTACAGAATACAGAGAGGAGAGGAGACAACTCGCGTGGAAGTTTCGCCACAGTGTGTCGCACAGCAAATGGATTGCAACGCAAGGCCGTTTAACAAAGTTTAATCCCATTTGCTCGGCACACTGTCACCAGCTGATTGCAACATCGCTTGCATCGGAAAATTCGAACTAATTTATCGCGGGCGTTCGAATCGTTTGTTGGTAAATGTGAATCATAAATTCGTTACACGGCCTTCAATTTTAATTATAACAGTCATCGTCTGAATCTGACAATATCTTTCAGCGCTGCCAACTATCGAAAAGTGGAATTTGTATCGGTTTGCTATGTCACCGAACCAGTCTAAATTCCATGTTACATATTCATTCGTTCGTAGTAGGCCGGAGCTGGAATAGTAATTTAGCGTCAACAACACGCCCCCGCTTGCAGAGTTTGCATTTTTGTCGTTTCGTCTGCACTCTATGCATATAATCTGCAATATTTGTATCTGTCTACAAACATGAATCTGCAATATTTGTATCTGTCTACAAACATGAATCTGCAATATTTGTATCTGTCTACAAACATGAATCTGCAATATTTGTATCTATCTACAAACATGAATCTGCAATATTTGTATCTATCTACAAACATGAATCTGTAATATTTGTCTCTGTCTACAAACACTGAGTAACAGATGTTATAAATATTTTTGATGAATAATATGTATATGGTACAGTTCAATACGTAAAACGCTATCACAAAAATTTAACCTTAACAAAATACCCGCATTTTACAATAAGTACCTACCCAGTACAAATACTTTATCACACACACTTCAGTCCTTAATTTTCCACAACTGATAAATAGACCATCCCGTAGATAACGAATGATTCTGCGCCACTCCTGCTGCATTCTTTTTTTACAATGTATACCTAGTAACAAGATTATATTTTAATATTTTGTCGCTTGCAATCAACGAACTGTTTTTTTATTTATTGGCGAACAGTAAAGTTTTGTGGCATCCAAAAGTAACCATCTTCTTGCATTTTCTGTCCTGCAGCCGCAATATTAAGTAATTGTGTTTCGATCAGAAGTTAGTAGGTATACATGAGACATAATAACAGGCGAAAATTGTTGGCATCACACTATGTCGTTTAATATCCGTGGTTGTTTACTATTCCTAACAACATAAAAAAATGCATAATCATGACATTGAGTTAGTGATATCGATTCATTCCTTAATTAGTAAGTCGAACTAAACAATAATTATTCATGAAACCGTCAAATCTCTCATAAATCTATTTAAACTATTAAATTATTTTGTCTCTCTCTTTTAAGTTAAATTCCCAATTTGAAAAAAGTGACATAACAGTTTTTTTTATACCACTGAGGTGGCAAACAAGCATACGGCCCACCTGGTGGTAAGCGGTTACCGTAGCCTATGAACGCCTGCAATACCAGAGGTATTACGCGCGCGTTGCCGACCCTAAAGAAACCTCTTTACCCCCCTTTTGAAGAACCCCATGCTGTAGTCTCTTGGGTAAACCTCGGCAGGGAACTCATTCCATAACCTGAGTGTTAGTGGGAGAATAGTGTAATAGGTAAAATATATTTGTTGAATGGCTAAATATTTTTATGCAATTTGCACATGCAAACAAACTCCTCATAAAAGTACTAAATAAAGAACATAAAAAGAAGTCATTTATGAGAATATGCCTCCCTAATTTCACTCTATATCTCATCCCTCAAACTGAAATACTGTCATATACGAGTATGTACATTAGCTTGTCGACGAAACGAACGAATGAGGCTGAGGGTAACCGTACAATTTATTTTTGTACAAAGTCTCCATCTGATAAAACGTTGCAAATTAAATGTAAATACTCACTATTTATGCAGTCATGTCATCGAAATTGTATTTGTTCTGCTTCCTGAAAATTACATTTCATCAGAAAGAAATAAATAGGCATTGAGTAAACAGAAAGGGTCGCGTTTGTACTCGTAGCTACATTTGTTTTCATTACGAGTTATTGAACAATCGTATTGGGGGGTTTGCCCTTTTATACATAAATACAGGTTTATAAAGTTTTATATTATTGTATCTACCTATATCTACAAAGACCTACCTATAATAGAATCGTAAAAAGTCGTATCTGTTCGCGGAATAATGTTCTGGAACGGCGGTACGCTTATAGAAAGACGTAAAGGGAACTATTGCATTTTTTTGGAGCGTTTGTCTTCTTTGTTATCCGGGCTGTGTGAACACACAAAACGTAACGGCATTTCCATAGATTTTGATAAAACTTGTCGACTTACCCATAGAAATGGAGTCACAATAATAGGTATCATTAAATTATGAATGATAATGTAGGCACGACGTTATTATAGTAATGTCACATATGATATGACGTAGTTTCGAATATATTACGTCGCTATTGCTAATGAATTACTCTATACATATAAAAAGATTTGTATTGATTGACTGATTTACTGATTGATCTATCAATGCACACAAACTAAGAGTTCAAATATTTTAAAATTTAGATAATTATATAACTAGCTTTTACCCCGCGACTTCGTCCGTGTGACCGAGATGGATTGACTAACCGGGAGTAAAAATAGCCTATATCCTTTTCTATATACTACCTGTATACAACATATTGATTAGTTAAGCCCTTAAGGCACCAAGAGGTAAAAAATGAACAAACTCACTTTCAGATTTATAATATTAGTAAGGATAATCAGGCAAAACAATATTTCCCGCGATTCTCACGAACGGGAAATAAAGAGTTGTGATGAGAGCAAAGCCGCTATAAATAGCGAATTCCAGTATCTCTTTACTGGCTATATAGGTACATGGTATAAAAAAAGAAATTGTAAAAGTTTCTTAAATAAGTTTTGTAAACTACATTTTCTAATATAACATATGACTTTTATCATTACAGACATGTTAATTTAATATTTACTCACGCTTTTAGTTTGTCTAATATAAATACATTATTTACCCTGTAATCAATGGAATACAATATTTTAATAGAAAGTTCCGTACTGCCGCAGTATAAAAACAATAACTTAGTAGCAAACAACAACTTTAATAAGACGTTAAAGTGCGCGTTCGTCATATTTCTTTAATTAAAATTAAATACCTAATATCGTAAGAAAATTATGTTTTTGTTACTTTTTAACACGGAACGTAAATATCATACAGGATTAATTAATTATGATTCATTATTAAATGTACCTATAATACAATTTTGACATAATTACAATTTTTATTTTAAAACATGAACGAGCAAATGAAACGTATTCGTGGAACAAACGAGCTTTATAAATGGTATGTATAAATAACGTTGAACGATGAAATTACTTTCAATTACACAAGGGTTTAAACACGCATAATCTCTATTTCCGTTGGCGCATACGGACTATAATAACGAGAACGTGACCCTAAGCACCTAAGTGTCCCCCGACGAGGCAGCTTAACTTTACGACGTTATGCCAAACCCGCGGGCTGCGCGCACATTCGTGTTCCAACTTCCCTAGGGCTGCCACCCTGCTAAACTGCAACTGTGAAATACAATCGATTTTTATATACGTTGAAATTGAAATCATTAGCATTCTTTTAAGGCAGTGTTCTTCAAATCTAACCGAAAACGAAAAATGACAAAATTTCGTGACTGCTGATACTGAACCGGCATCCACCACTTTTTAAAATTTTTGGTTCACGAAATTTTCGTGTATAATTTTTACGTACCGCTAAAAGCTTTTATTTTATTCTGTATTTTTATAATATTAATCAATCGTACGGGCGCCTAATGTAAAATATTGACCGCGGTCTATGTATGTATTAGATATCGGTACATTTAACTTTGATTCACATATTTACCTACTGATGCAAGCATGGCTATTTCCTGTCTGAAGGAGTGTGTCTAAATCGTATTATGTTATTTTGTAATAAATTATAAATAAATAGATTAGTATACATAGAGAATGAAAAAACTTGTATCTATTTTAAACTTTTCATTTTTAATTGTAAATGTTTTATTAAAACTACGCTAAGCTAAGAAAAAAGATAATATATATTGAAAGGATTGGACTAGATAACCAGA